GGAATAATTTTTAATTACAAAAACTTTAGGTAAGAGACGAGAATTTTATAAACGAAATAATATGATGATAAAGACAACTAAAAACACAACTAAAATAAAATAAATGAAAAATTAATATAAAAAAAAATAAATAAAATAAAAAAATAATATAAATTAACATAAAATAAAATAAAGTAGAGAAAAATGGCATACAACGACTTAAATAAAATTAAAACACAAAATACCCGCAATAAAATGAATTTAAAATTAATATACATAGAATAAAAAAAAAAATAGAAGTTATAAGAGGAAAAACAGTAATATGCATTAATAAAAAATAAAATTAAATAAAATAAGGAAAAATTATATAAATTAAAATAATTTAAAATTAAATGAATTAAACTAAAAACACAAAAAATAAAATAACCGAAATGAAATAAATTGAAATTTATTATATAAAATAAAATAAAAAAAAAAATTAAAAATATAAATTAAATAAAATGATATATATTAATTTATATAAAATAGAATTATATAATATACGATAATATAAAAAGTAAATTGATATAAAATAATTAAAAAAGACAAAAATAATATTAAACAAATTAAATAATTAAAAAGATAAACAAAATAAAATCAAATTAAATTACTTAAAATAAAATGACATTAAATAATGTAAAAGTATTAAATAAAATAAATAACACAAAATACAAATTATATAAATTTAAAAAAAATAATTACAATAAAAGAAATTTAAAAGAAAATCATTTTAATTAAAAAAATCAAACTAAATTGATCTTTCTTTCCAATCATGAATATTATAAATGAAACAAATAAAGTAAAAATAAAAAGCTATATGAAAAAGAAATAAACACAAAAATTTAAATTAAATAAAAGTAGAACGAAATAGAGTAAAAAAGTAGCATATGCCAAGCGCAAAGTAAATTATAAAAAACGAACTTTAGTAAAAAGAAAAAAAACTATTATTTTCTTAAACAGTTAAATTGAATAGCATATCACTAAAAAATCGCATTAGTGTTTCCGTTTTGCTTTACTTCTTTATCTGCATTGGATCCTTGCAACTCAAACTGTTTTAAATATTTATTATTGTGTTGATTAATATTCCCGCCACTAAATGCAGAAGCATATTTTCAGGCTACAAAATATAAATAGTCAGTTGTTGTATTCGGGTGTGTCGTTTTCCAAGCAGTTTGAGTGCTACTTATTGTCTTTAAAATCAAACTAGGTCGTATATGTGAACAATATACGCGTATATGTATGTATGTGTCTCTTTAGATATGGCTCTACAATTAATATGAATTCATATAATTGTTGAATTTTAGGAAAATTAACTTAAAGTCTTTGAAAAGGAGTTGAAATTGAGATTTCAAAAATAAAAATAAAATAAAACAAAAATAAAATAAAACAAAAATAAAAATACGTGATCAATAAAAAATTATATCGAGCCTCTTAGATTTAAACTTAAATCAGCAACATATGGTATGAGTGTATTTTAATGAATAATGTATAATGAATAATAAAATAAGTTAAAATAAAATTAAATAAAAATAAAATAGTCAAAATGAAAAATAAAATAAATAAAAGTTAAAAAATTAAATGAAAAAATATAATCATTAAAAATTATAAAGTGCAAAAACCAATGAAAAGTTACAAAAAAAATAAATGAAGTTAGCTGGAAAGAAGTGTAGTAAAATATTATGAGTCAATAAATGTTAATATTAAATAATAGTAATTTAAACTTAATTTTACATGTATGTATTTGTGTATTCAAGCAAAGGGAGAACTTTTTCACCATCATGTATATTTGGAAACTAACGACTTTTTGATATTTTCTTATTTTTTAACATTTTTGTTTTTTTTTTTTACATTTTTCTTATATTTTCTTTAACATTTTTACATATGTTTTTTAATACATATTTTTATATTTTCCTTTTAAAATCTTAAATTTTTATTTTTTTTTACTTATTTAGTTATTTATTTTTTTATTTATTTATGTACTTATTTATTTACTTATTTATTTATTTATGAGGCAACAGATCATAGCTTTATTACGAAGATAACATGGCTTGTGGCTATAAAACAATTTATGATTGCTAATATGCATACAAAATGGCACATGGCAATACGAAAAAAACTTCAAAAAGTTATATAAATAAATATAATATAAATTAATATTAATATAAATTAATATTAATATAAATTAATATTAATATAAATTAATATTAATATAAATTAATAGAATCTGAAAAATATATACAAATATGAAGAACATTTGTCATTAATTTTTGTGTATGTACAAATAGCTTTTGCATATTACATAACAAATATATGTTAAGCACCTTTTCGACCTTTTAGTAATTTATTTAATTTTAAATTTATTAATTTATATTTATATTTTGTTTTAGTATTAGTTTTTAATAATTTTTATATATATAAAATAACAAATGGATATTAAAATTTGAAAAATTTTTGCTGCATACTTACATAATTTTAGAAAAAGAATTACAAATTTTTATAGTATTTTCAAATAATTTTTATTTTATATAATTCACTTTCTTACATTAAATGTAGGTTAAATATACTGATTTACATATATAGTGATATCTATATATATTCTTAAATTTCTTATGATACTTATTTACTTATTTTAATGTATTCATGTAATTGCTTTTTTGTATACAAATATCAATTACCAGGCTCAGGTGGCAAATGATAAATGAGTAATGAGGCACTGCCAGGCACAAGCTCCAAGGTGCAAGGTCAAGACCAATAAGAGCCTATCGGCCTCGTTACCTTCGCTGCTGACATACGTCTTACGTAATAGTACTGTCATATGTGCATATAAATGTCTAGTGGCCCTCTCAATCGGTTTCAGCTGACTGCCTTTTGCTGGTATACCCACTTGGCCTTGGCAATAAAAATATTTACACTCGGTTTAACTAATAAAATTTTAATTGAAATTTTATTACTGATGATTTCTAAATTAAAAGCAAACTTATTGCAGGCGAATATATTATATTTATTTATATATATGTATTTATATATATGTAAAAGTGAATGTATGTAGATATGTTCTTATATAATTTTCAAATTTTTTTTGAAAATTTTCCTCAATCTTACTTACAAATAAGATAAGATATTTATATATGTAAATATATGTATATATAAATATGTTGTAATACCACAGTGGTTTATAATATAGAGTGTTTACTTATATATTAGTACTCATAATTAAACAACATTTATATTTTTACTGTACAATTAATTTTCACAAACTTGATTTTTTATTAAAATTTATTAATATTTTTATTTTTTTGAGATTTTATAATGAAATAGCATCTAGTTTTGTTAGGCCTGCAGTATTAGTCAATTAAAATTTGATTAATTATTTTTAAAACTATTTAATCAGTCAACTAATCAAAGGATCATCTTCAATTAATCGAATAAAATTACTTTACATTTTAAATATTTTTAATTGAGGTTTAATTCAATTAATCATTTTTCAAATAAATGTGGTGAAACAATAATAATTTTTAATTAATGAATTTAAACACTTTTGATTTAATTTCAATTTGAGTAAATTCAATTAATGATTAACTATTTTTAGTCGATTAATCCAAATATTTTAATTGATTAACCGCACATTCCTGATATTTTGTTTGTGGCAAAGTTGAAGTAAATTCTATTGATTGTAATAAATTAAAACAAAAATCCACTTTAAAATTGCAATCAGTATTTCAGGCAAGACTTCACTCAAACGATCTCAAATATAGCCAAAGCTTTTCAAAACGAACCTTCGTCAAACAGCCCATTAGAGGCCACCACAATTTACTCTCTCTACTCTCCTCTTCCTACATTTCGAAACATTTGTGGAGAACCGTTTAACGAAACGAAAACGATACGAAATTTTTTGGCTTAACTCTAACCTATAACACCTTTTTGAATATTTGGAAGAGATTTTTTTAAGAAAAACATAGTTGTTTTTTCTTGCTAATGCGACTTCTCTCCCTCTCTCTTCATAGCAATGTTCTGGTTAGACAGCTGGAGCTCCTTATTTGCTATGAGTGGTGGTTGATAGACTCTCTGTGAATGGCCTCCAAGGTCTGCCGGTAATTCGTACTCTCCAGCGTTTTTTTAGTTTTATGTTTTTTAGTGCTGAATGGAGATTATAATTTCGAATTACTCCTTACCGGATGTAATTAGTTCGACTTCGAATAGATATCTGCAAGGATGGTCCCATGGTATCTAGCATTCTAACGGAGCTCAATCATTGGTTTGTGTAGATGCTTCCATTGCAGTCGCTATTCGCCAGTGACCAAGTCGTTACAGCGAAATGAGCGTTCGTCTCTCCGATGCTTAGCAAGTTGAGAGCATGGCTCACGGCGTACAGAAGATGACTTCCAGTAACGTGGTGTTGTTTATTGTCAGTTCGAGCCGGCACTCTCTCGTACAGCTGGTGAAGAGCGTAGCCAAGGACTTAACAGGTTATAGTTGTTATTGTCGGTGAGTGAAGTAATGGAAACGGCATACCTTCGAAGAAAGGTTAGAAATATCTGGAGCAGATGCCAATTTATAGCCATGTACGGTATATGAGATCAGGGAAGCGCATTATATTGTGGAGTAAATTCGACGAGGGGAGAGAGCACTAACCTGCGTAACCTAATTTCCGGTAGTAGTGCCGGGTAATTGACCGTGTCAGATACAGTGGAGTAATCCATGTACGGAGCCTATTTTGGTTAAGGTCTTAGATTTTCTACTGTACTTCATTTCTAACGCATCAAACATGATTGATAGAGGTTGCTTGCCTCGGACCACTTTAGACGAGATTCCTTGCCAATTACTGAGGGTTCCATATATATATATATATATATATTATATTTTACTGAAGTCGTAACATCCTCGCATTGTTACATTCTAACTTGCACATATATCGTCAGCCTGCAATTTAAATTTTAAACCTCCTAACCTCCAACGGGCATATTTAACCTCAACCGACCGCACTACCAATACTTCGCTTGCCCCTGCGCGGGCAGTGGGTGATTGTAAGCAGCTGCCGCGACCGCTGCTGCACTATTCAATTGATTGTTATGTGCCGCAGCAGCAGCGCCAGCCGCCGCATAGTCGTTGAGCGAGTGCTGAGCAGCAGCAGCGTGCGCATGATGAGCGGCCGCCGCATTATAGTTAGCAGCTGCTGCTGCCGACTGATTGAGATGATAGGCAGCCTGTGACCAATTCGCGGTGGAGTCTAATTTTGAATAGTTTTCGCCGGTGAGATGCGAGAGGGAGGGCGACATTTTCGATACACTCTCAACGGTGAGCTTGGAAAAGTCATCGATGGTTAGCTTAGAGTAATCTGTGAAAAAAAAGAAGTGAAAAATTAAATTTCTTCTCTATTTTATCTACCGCCCCACTTACCCTGATGATAGTAATTCTGCCCGCCAAAGTGGCCGTGCTGAAAACTGCTTGCGAAACCGTGTTGTGCCGACTGCGCCACCAAATCATAACCGCCCATTTGCGTATGCGGATGGTGCGGATGATGTGCGGCTGCCGCTGCTGCAGCCGCTGCGGCGTGCGCTGCGTGATTATCATTCATGCCAGCGCTCGCGGTACTCGCTGCCGCTGGGCTATAGCCAGCCATTGACCCGACAGCGGCAAGTGAACTAAAACCGAGTGGTGCTGTTGCACCCACACCGGCGCCCATACCGCCAGGTACACCAGGCGCGCTACTACCACCGCCATTCATAGGCGATAAGCCCGCACTCGGGCCGCCGGAATGTTTACGCAAACGTGCGCGTCGATTGCTGAACCACACCTGTATGCGCGCCTCTGTAAGTCCGGTGGTCTGTGCGAGTTCCTCACGTGTATATACATCTGGATACTGAGTGCGTGTGAAAGCGCGTTCCAGCGCCTCCAATTGTTCGGCAGTGAAGGTGGTGCGTGAGCGACGTTGCTTACGCTTCAGCGGTATGCCGGGCTCCGATTCGGTGTCGCTGATGTCGGAGTTTTGGCCTGAAATGGAAGAAGGGGTTGTGTTAGGTTTTAACAGTTAGTAGGAGAGTTTTGTAAAAGAGCTGTTTGAGGCAATGAAATTTATTACTAAAACTTCTTCGGTTAGAAACAAAACCTCCGAAAACCACTCTAAACATCTATATATTCTAACAAAAGGCGTGATAGTGGTTATGAAGAAGAACTGCAGGGGATTTGTGGTTCACCTACCAGCTAGATATGGGACCAGAAAACCTGTTTTTGTCTCTTTCATCACGAGAACCTGTAAACTTCGAGGAAGTGCTCGGTAAGCTGCGGCACAAAAGCCTTTAAATACATTAATTTTAAACCAAAGTGCACAATCTATCAAGTTCCTGACTGAAACTGACTTCATTTTCTTCTTCTTCGCCTCGGTTCGAGTTATTCCTCGTTTCTAAGTCGACTGCAAAGACCAATATAATGCCAAAAGGCATTTGGAACCAAAACGACGGTCTGTGGACATAGACGTGACTTGAGAAGAATTCCAAAATGAAGCTTATGACACACTCTTCTTCTTCCTCGTAATTAAAGCAAAAGAAACCGAGTTTCTCGTCCTGCTCTACCATGAATTATTAGTGTTGTATTCTTTACCGTTGTTAGAGTCATTCTTTTCCTCCTTCTTCTTTACTATGAACAGGCCCGGAAAAGTTTTTAGCTGAAGGGTTATCATATAATTCGAGGTCCATCCCTTCAGCAATGCTTCAACATCAAACTTCATTTTAATTTTAGACGGACCTCAAACAACGCCTTTATGATGAAGAAGGAAGTCTCTAAGCAAAACAACCAAAAAAAAAAATCGGTTGTGAAGTTTGAGCCGATTTGGAGCCCCGGTAATATATGCGTGGCCGGAAGAGAAATCCCAAATATCGCAGAGACTACATTCTTCTACATCGTTGGTAAAGAATGGACTCCATTTTCTTTCTCCCTTTATGAATACATGAGTGCCGAAAAAAAGTTTTGAAAGAGGAATACGGTTCATCGATATATCTACACGGTGCTTCACATACTTGGAGTCACCTGAGCTCCGTTCTTTTATAGAATCACAGCCTAACTTCTGGCGGACTAATATTGAACGTCAAAATTAGGCGCAAGCGTCATGCTATCAATATCTCAACAGGTAAGAGGTGAAGTCTAAGAACAATAAAATGATATTACTTTTTCTAGTTCTGAACAGGTCATGAGGAGGTGCCGGAAGATATATCAACATATCCTACATTAATTTAATGATAATTACTTTCTTTAATGGGAGACGAGCTCGATTTTCGTAGAGCCTAGTGCCCTTCGCTATCCTTTCCGCAAGGAAAACTGTAAAAGAATGTGAAAAGCCGTCATTTGTTTCGTACAAAAGAACTCTTAAATAGATTAGTGTGTCTTCCAAAGGGACATCAAACAGTTTGAAATGCAAAACAGATATAGAAGAACCATCTGTCAACATCCTCGGTATGAGCGAAGAAATCCCAAATCAAGCTAATAATAATTTTTTTCCCAGTTCCGAATCGCATATGGGCGATCGTCTTTCAACATCTACAAGATGGACGAAGAAGTTTAAAGTTTAGCAAATGATAGAACCTTCCTCACTTGGGTCAGAAGTTCCATATGCAAAAAATCTTACTGCTCCTTACTTCGATTTCCGAAAGAAATGGCTTACACTTCTACATCTGTTTTTATACTACTCCATCCTACGCAAACTCTTAAGTGGAATAGCTCCTAAAAATTTTGTACAACCTCACACCCAGCGTGAATTTCCAGGTTCCGTGTGATCCCGGCGTTACTCCACTTTATTAAATCTAACCATTATCAGTCTTTCTCCCTATCTTCCTGGGAAATAATCACACTCCGCACTCCCGCAACCAATCGCGCTGTGCACATAAAAGCGGACTGATTGAAATTTAACCTCAAATTATGCACGCCTCGTAAAAACTAATAGGCTCCTCGCTCTACACCCGAACAAAGCGGAATGGAAGCATATGCATAATTTTCTCATGTAAGAAATCATAATTTGTGGAGATTGAGAGGTGAATGGCTGAATTTTTCTTTGAGTAAATTGAAAAGCGACAAAATCGATTAATGGAAATGTGGCCACCAAAGATTTTAATTTAATGGGGAGGCGGAAAATGCGATGCAGATTAAAGAAAGAAAGGCAAAGACGTGCTTACACATACATACATACATACATACATACATATGTACGTATATAAAGAGATGTAATAAGTGTGGAATATATTAAAACGCTTATGACTTCATCCCATTAAAATAAATTAGAAAAAATAAAAATAAAATAAAAAAACAAGCCAAACTGTCGCAGAGATTTTTTAATTTTTTTTTGAAATTTTTTTTTAAACTGTGAGTCGGCATATCTACGCTGCCCCACATGACCACCCTTCTTGTGAACAAATAAGAAAATATTTCTTGCGAGCAACAGAGGAATCGTCACCCGCCTGAACGCCTGCCCGGCAACCGAATTGCTTGTTAAGCAAATACAAAGAATTAAAAAAAAAAAATTGAAACACAATTAAAAACGAAAAGCAAATCCCTGCTCAACTAGCCGTCACGTTGCAGTCAATCAGTCTGTTAGTCTCCGCTGCCTGCTCGGCTGATCAGCTGCTCGGCTGGTCGGCTGGGTGTGCAGGCAATTAATGCTCCATTGCATTTTAATTCGAACGTCAAAAGGCGTCGCAAATCTGTCAAAAGAACTCGCCGCCGGCAACAAACATCGTCTTTTCGCCACAATACACCACAGCCGCGTTCACCCTCGCAGTCTTCACCGCCGTCGCCGTCGCCGCCACCGCCAAATATCTAATATGAGTTCCTCTTAACCTCAGCGCTCGGTTCGTGGCATATCGTTTCAACTAAATTAGTGCTTGTTAACTCAGCTTCCATGACCAGTTGGTGGGGCGAGGAATGGCGCGGTTCTCATGGCACATTTGGTTGGTATTACATTGGGAGTTATTCGGTTTAGCGTATTAGTTAAGGAGTTTTTATTACAGCTCAATTTTCGTTAAATGCCAAGCCGTTAGAATTTGCTGGCAATGATGGGTGGGAAGATTTGCAGGGCTTCTTTTTTCAGTCTTTGAGTAATTTGCGAACTATTTAACATTTGAACTCGTACTTGTAGCGAGGCGTTGGGTGGGAGGTGAGAAGATTTGATTCCGATAGTGTCATTTATGGATAGAGAGTTGAGAAAGATCATAATTGACAGTGTGATCCGTAAAGGAATTAAACCGAACTCTTCCCATTTTAGCTTGTTACTTAGCCCTCAGCACGACCGCGTTGATCCTGGCAAGAAGAACAAGCTATCAGAATAGAAATGTGCGGTTTATTAGACTCCATTAGTAGCCAGTCCGAAGCAGCGACGGTAATTTTTGTTTCAACTTCTTCAATGTTCAGGGAATTTTACAATAGCGCGCTTGACGCTTCTTCTTTTCACAATTTGGCTTCACTTGGATACAGCACATAAGCCTGACTTCCATATCTACCTGACTTTTTTCAAAGGTAATGTGGGTCTTGTGAAGCAGGAGTCCTACAAATGGGTACGCAGTTACAGTCGTAAGGATATGCTCTTGCGTCCACAAACCGCAACCGAGTAATGTAAACTACTGTTGTGGATGATACAGTAACCAACTAGTGCGAAGTCTTGAGTTACGACGGAAAGGAAGGAAGCTTCAATGCAGTTACTCTGAAATATTTGGCTTAACAGTTCCACCTCGCCTTCAATCATCAACTAAGTGTTCGGAAAGACTCGACCGAAGAAAATATGGGTCAACTTCAATCTCTTTGGTCCGAGAACGTGCAGACAGTTGGTTAACACAACCTCTGTTGAATGTTTTCGATGGTAGTTTAGAATTTACACACTTCAATATCGAGTACGAGGAAAAAGAGGCAGCTTGATACTTGAGTCAAGTTGATGAATGCGATGGACCCAAAATAACTTCATGAGGTTAAGAGAGATTGGCTCTCCTTGACAGATGGGTCCGTAGTGGAAAGGTTTAGGATTCCATTTTGATTAATCTGTAACTAAGCTGAGATCAACTCGTTGGTAGACCTTCATGCAGAACAAACAGTTGCGACAGATCATTTTTTTCTCGTCTGACGTGATTCGCAGAGCTCACATATCTACACTGAAGACCGAAATCTATTGGAGAAAGTACTCAAGAGCCTCATTCTCCGCAGATTTCAGGTTTATGAGCGCAGAGAGATGAGGAGAAGGTTTCATTATTTTTTGGCTTTCAAATGCCTACGATATTTCCAGCCGTCTTCAGTCATTTTGCACTTTCAGAAAGCTCCATAAACAGTCAGTGGAGTCGAACAAGCGCAAAAGTAATCACTATCTATATTTTGCGTGAATTAATGCTAGCGACGGTGTGTCAGCTCTCTCTTTGAACAGAGCATTGCCCTTCTAAGTCTAAGTTTGTTTACCTCAAAAGCATCAGTCCTCCGCCTAATTGTCTAAGCTCCCTCACTGTCGGCAGCTTTAACTCTCCCACACATTTCTCTCAGTGTATCAATATCAACCGAACTCCTTCGCTAACATTCGCTCGCCTCCGTAGATATGTATGTTTGTATGTGATCACTTGGAATTCATTGTGACAGTTTCATTACACTTCAAATCACCATAACATAAAGACCAATCTCTGCACGGTAGTTGACAGCTGTTATAACGGATTTCATTACATAATAACAACAAATGTCCAAGAGCTGTCACATGTCATATGCAAAATCAGCAAAGCGAAAGAAGAAGAAAAACTAGAAGAAACGAATATTAAAGTGTCTACAAAACCAAAAGTCAAATTTAATTGAGTATCCATTTACATAAAGTACAACAACAGCAACGGCAACAACAACAACAATGCATGCAATAAGAAATGACACAAAAAAAAAACAACTGAAATATCACACGCTAACTGGCAGCATAAATAAATAGGCAACAAAGCATACAAACAGACGTGGCATCTACGTGACGGGGAGCAAAATCTGGTCTCTCCCTC